GCTAGAGAGCAAGAATAATAGTATTCATGGTGTTCAGGAGGCAAAGAACTATACAACATGGTCGAACATATATAACGGGCGGCGCTTTGAAATGCTGATACAATAGATGCTCTGATAGCGGTACTCAAGCCAAATGATTATGTATCAGCATCTACTGACTTCTGGTTGTTGTCAAGCATGAACGAAGGTGGACCAGAAGATCCAGGGGACGCTGAGACGAGCATACGGATTATTCTCTGAAGGCAAATCCATGTGAGAATGGACTCACTCTTTTTGAGTGATCTATATTTGTTGGATTGATTGCTCCTGTTGCTTCAATCTCTTTGATTTATTCTGATCAATCATGACCGACGAAGAATGCTCCTGGGATTGAAGTGAGAATATGGCTGGTATACCTCTTCTTCTTTAGACAACACTATCTTGGCTGACGAATTGACGAATATGGTAAAATGGATAACAATGCATCGTCCATGCATTCTTCTTCTTGGAGAGGGAACAACAAATTGCGGCAATGCTTAAATAATGCCTTTTCCAACCCCAGATTTGGTAAAGTTCTCAAGGTATCCATGGGCGGCAGATAAGTATTATTATATATTATACTAGCCAACAGTAGCAGTGGAAATGAAAAAGCAATTCAGTCCATTTCTAGAGAAGTAAGCGCAAAATTTTAATGACAAGAGGAGGCAACTTGGAAAAAAAGTTGGAAATTGTTTGTTTTGGAACTTGACCAAAAAAAGGATACCATTCACTCCGTCACGATTATTGATTACACTTCTGAAACCATGGAAGCACCATAAAAGACCGACCCATATTGCAAGCATATACGGTACGGAGGTAGAATGATCGAGCAGTCGTGGAGGACGGAATCTTAAAATCCCTTTTTGATTCGGAGGGATCGTCAATTTATTTGAAGAGGCTTGTAACATGCGTTCCGGATTCCACTTTAAGATTTGATTCCGGGTCGATGTTAGGGGATAGCTGAGGGGTGTTTACTCCCCGAACCAGTCCTTCAGAATTTGACAAGAGCTGTTATCTGAAAAGCGGTAAACTTCAGACTAGGGTGAAGAAACGCATTCTAAAGAAGCGTCACACGACGTCGGACGTCATCTATTGAATCTAAAATATATAAATGCGTTCCGGATGTAGACTTCCAACTTCACTGGCCAATCATATATATATGTGTTCATACGTATGTCTGTTTCGTTCTACAGCATCATTGCATTTCGTCACACAAGGTATGAAAACGCGGAAAGTGAAGAAGTTAACGAATGAATCATTGGCATTGATATATTATGCATTCGGGGTCATCACACCTTCGAAGTAACTCGATCAAAAAGATATTGGGGATCCTTTGAGCTTTGGAGTGTTTTCATTGGATGATGGCATCAGTATGATAAAATTGTAGATGGACAATAGAGTAACGACAGATGATGATGGGGTCTTCAATCAGTAAGAACTACTATACCGTAGAGTAGTAGTATTAGGTAATATTAGGTAAAAGTCTTCTAAGTAGCATTTTTGTTTTGTTTTTTAAAAATATAAAGTATTTTCCAGCAGGCACAACTACCTCTCAATCTTCCGAGGACCGAATGATGATCTTTCCTGTTCATAATGTCAGAAAAGATATCATTCAACTTCCAAGCAAAAATGTGAGCTAGTTGGGTGGTGGGCCCTTATAAGGAGAGATCGATGTTTGATATACCAAGGAAGGAAAGGATTGAATCATCTATTGGCCCTTCTTGTAGTTGGCAGCTTCAATCTTGGAATCCTTTTGAAGGTATTCCTGTTCGTAGGATTCTGGGAACCACTTCATGCTGGCGTTACCAACCATGATATCGACAGTCTTCTTCAGTCTCCAAAAGACATTTTGCTTGACGTATGGCACGCCGTACTTGGCGCAAATGGCTCTGACTTGGGGAGCCGACTTTTGGTAGGTGAGCATGCTGAGGTTGGGCCACATGTGGTGCTCAATTTGATAGTTGAGCCATCCGTGCCAAAAGTCAATGGGGTCGCTTCCCATGGAAAAGTCTACCGAGGCGAGGACTTGGCGAAGGTAAAAGGATCCGGAGAATGGACGGCAAGGTTCACGGAATCGGTACATGTCATCACCAGCGTGGTTGGTGACAACAATGATGAAACTGTGGACATTGGTCAAGAGTTCCGCAAGAAAAAGGTTCTTGATGGCAGTCCAGTACATGCCTTGTCCGGTGTATCCTTCCAAGTGCTCTCCCAAAAGAAGGTAAGGGAGAGGAGCGACGAAAAAGTGAAGGATAAAGTATGGGAGAAGAACCACGGCCATGAGTTCGGCAAAGGAGTAAAAGTGAGATTGTCCCATGAGCGCAGACTTGACAGTAACCGCAAGCTCCGGTTGGACACCCTCTGGAATGGCCTTTCCTTGGCGTCTCAATCGTGCAAGCTTTAGTTCCTTGTAGGTGTTGGGGGCATAGTAGTACCACTTCCAAGTCAACATGGTGAATCCAACCATCATGTATTTGAAAATGACAGGAGCATCTAGGTCACGAACTTCTTCCATGTTCTGTTCCACAAGATCAGGGTCGTGGATCTCACTAAGGTTGTAGTGATGACGGTTGTTGTGCTCGACGTTCCAGGCTTCTGGCATCATCCAGTCAAACCAGTCATTGAAACGGCGCCAGAAGGTTCCCAATCCGAACTTGAACCGAGACCAACGGTCCTTGTTGGGATGAACCTTTTCGTATCCGCCGTGGCAAGTGTGATGGGCAATCATGGTCCATCGGGTGCAAGTGTAAAGAGACAGGCAGACGATGGTGATGGGATTGACGAGGAATCCCATCGTCAGCAGGCCAATGGCAGCACAGCTGTTGGACCACATGATCATTTTGTTCAGGTGAGCCACGTCGGCTTCTCCTTGTTCGGCATCCAACTTCTTTCCAAGCTCTTTGATTTCAGTGGCAAAGCCTTCAAAGTCGAAATCCTTCAGCCATTCGTCTCCCTTTTGGAGTTCGGCTGGATCAGCGACGGCCTTTTTAGGCTCTCTGGCTACTTCTTGACGGCACATGTTTTGTTTTGTTTTGTTTTGTTTCGTTGAATTCAATTGAACTGAATTGAATTGAATTGAATTGAAATTCAGGTCGTTGTGCTGTGTGATAACAGTATGTACCTAGGTGCAATGAACAAGAATCACAACAAAATGCCGATCGCAATTTTGGAAAGTGACAATCAATGACTTATCGTGTGTAATCCGTTGCGTGGTGGTTATAGATCGAGCGAGTTGCACACGTGAACGAGCGAACGACCGCAAAGCTTTGCTTGGTCGAGAGAGAAAAAAAAGAACGAAAAAAAGAGGGAGTCTCGTCACGATTTTTCTCTGTGGGTCTGCGCTGGTGCAGGCAGGCAGGAGGAAGAGGAATTCTTCACATGCATTTGAAGATACCCAAAGTGCGTCCAACCTAAAAACACGTGGTGGTTGTTCGGCCAATGACAAAATGGAGAAGATGAGGTATGCCGTGAACTCCAGTACTGTCTCTACGAAGAAAAGAAAAAGACCCGGAAGAAATGGTGACGATCGGAAGGAAACTACGTCGTAAATCACCGACTGTTGTGATTGGTCAAAACAAATTGAAAATATGCACATCATTGAACATACCGGTACGATACAGTAGGCACACGCGGTGATTTGGTGACGCTGAATTTCAAATCCAAAGGCATCATCACATGTTTCAAAATTGAAGAAATGAAGAAATGACATGACACATTTTTTGAATGACGTATTAGAATATTATTATTCACCAAAAATGCAATGAACCATTCCTGACAATTTCAGGAAGACTCACTCATATAGAAGACGAAAGTTTCTTTCGCCCCATACCTACCTACCTACCATCATTGGGCTTTCACTTTATACAAGATATTTTAAAACTACATGACATATTTGAGGACGGCATGGATGATTGATTCATTCATTCATTCATTCATTCATTCAGTCTTCTGCCATCACGATTATTTGAGATCATCGAATCATCATACCTTCGCTCGAGTGATTGGCGATTCCTACATCATGTTGGTTGATGATTGATTGATGCATTCATTCATGCATTCATTCATTCATTCATTCATGCATTCATTGATGATAAACCCTACGAGAAGATACATTGTATTGGATATACGCCGTGTTGTTTGACGAAAAGTGTTGCTCTACGTACGGTCTGGACGCAATGTTTGTCGAAGCGAAAATATGATGGGCGATCTTGATTCGAAGAATCATGCAGAGACGGACCAAGGAAGGAATGATATCAATGAATCTTCAATGAATCTTCAATCAATCAGGTGGAATACTACAGTAGTATGCAACAATCAGACTGCACTAGTAGAATATATTAGGAATAAACGACGAACAAGACGTCTGAAGGCGATTGATTTCATCGGTTTAT